CTAGTAATGCCAGGCTCTGTTAGATCAAACTTTGGCAGGGCCAATATGGAGAGATTGGGTAATTATGAGTGGAAGCTTTATAAGGACTTTAAAGAGGTCATTGAGGAGCGAGCTAGAGCTTCTCAGGGTGACAAAGCAACCGATGGTAGAGTTTTTGCAAGACATGTGGCTAAAAAGGTTTTAGGCCCTAAACCACCAAAGCAAATTGTTTTTGGTAACATGGCTGCTTTGTTTGCCTTCCTCTCATGGTCTCCCCTCTGGGTCAGAGATCTGTTTTTCTCAACCCGTTTTGGCCTAGAAAAAAAAGTTTAAGGTTAAGTATTAGACATTATGTATAACCTTCTTTAAATGTTATACACTTCAACGACATCTATTGTCTTTTACTAATTCTTTTTTTTTTTTATCATCTGTTGTTCATATTTATATTTCTCTCTTCCTCTCTATATGTTAATAAAGTTTGGTGTCCACCTAAGTTTTCCCATTTGTATCACTTGTTTGTGATAACTGTTGCTCCACTATTTACTGTTAGTCAAATGCATGAATATGTGTTGATGCCTATCATAATGAGTGATTCATCCCAATTAAGTGACAAAAAAATAATGACCCTCACTTAAGCGAAGTCAATTGTTTATTTAAGAGTGTTGGAATAACAAATTCATGTACACGAGAACAAATTCTTACCTAAGAAAAAAATAGGTAAATAATTGTATCATTGAAGAATTCAAGGCTCTACTAAACGAACAATGATGACTGAGACAACATGAAACTAAGATGTCTCGCTTAAAGGAGATTTTTCATGAGTCATGTGTACTCTTGTGAAGTGGACATCTAGTTTCCATATGTAAATGAGCAAATGGACCAATTTAAAGGTCATTTCCTAAAATGTAAACTCCTTAGATATATTGTAATTAAGAAAGAAGAGATTAATAAACATTGAGGTGTTCCTAGGGCTCACTACTATCATGTATTGTTTCATTGTCGATAACAATTGGAAACATCACATTTCTTTGTAACAGGTTGATTTGCCATAAAAATGTTGGTCGTCTATTTTGCTTTTTTTCAAACGGACGTAGTTTTTTTGTGTGATAATTGAATCAAATTGACAATCATAATTTGATTAATGTTCGTAAGACTCATTAACAACAGTCTTTTACTTTCGAATATGTTTTGAAATGGATCACCTAATGAAACATAGTGCTGGAATACTATTTGATTCATCGGTTGTTCATATTAATGTTTTTAAAACTAATTCTTATGGGTGATTATTTTGGGGTTAATAGCCTAAAAAAGCTTCGGATCCGAACTGATTTATAACAACCATAATAACACAGAGACTAAGACTGAACATGTGTTTAATGTTACGAAGAATTTAAAGTGCAAGTGTGGTAAAGTTTCATCTTAGCAATACATTCTTACCGATTTTTTTTTACAGGAATTTGACTCTTATTCAAGCTTGATATTAAATCCTGTGATAATGATAATGACTTTCTTTATAATTAGCATATACATAAAAAAGTAATTAGAATAAAACTACGAGAAACCATTATTAGGTCATATAAATATAGTTGTTTACAGTAATAAATAAGTTAATAATACAAAAATCTTCTACTAGGATAATTTATCTAAAGTTTATTATGTTAAGATTTTTATATAATCCTTCCATTAATGGGATGAAAGAGGGTAAAAAGGAAGAAAAAGAAAAATTGGGTATTTCCTTTGTTTGGGATTGGGTGTGTTGAAATAGGGGAAATGTGAATTGGTGTGTAGTGGTTGGTGGGGTGGATATAACAGTGAGTGATGATTAGCACAATCAAAAAGAGGGCCTCTTTCTATTTCTCAACATTCCTCCCGGTCTGCTCTAACTCCGTTTCACATCTCCTTTCTCAAACAACACCATCATGCGCTCTTGAATTCCTGTCTCCATGAATTTGGTCACGCAAATTTGCATGCAAACTAATCATTATTCTCATTCATCAAACGGAATCTGTGTGTAAACCTACCTTTCTAACAGGCCCCCTTCCTTCTCTCTCTACACCTCATTTCTTCCCTGTACCAGCACAGATATATTAAGCGTCTATCACTTCACTCTCTATCTACAAAATCTTCATTCGTTTTATAAAATCTTATTCCACTTCTTTTTTTATTTTACTTTTTATTGTTTTATATAAAAAATATTAAAGTAATATGCTTCAAAAATCGAGAATTAGTAAAAAATATTATAAAGTCAAACTAAAGTAACTAACACTTCTAACTTCAAAAAAATAAATGGAAACTTAAGTTTTTCCAAGTATATAATGTGTGTACATATTTAATGACATGACTGCCAGTGATAGTTTAGTAAGAGCTTCTTTATATAAAATTTGAATCTATAAATTTTATCTAAAGAAATTAAATTTAGTATAATTAGTAGGATTTAAATTTAGAGTAACATTGATATTATTTAGAGAACTTTGAAAAAAAAAAATATATATATATATATATATAATATCTCTTATAAAAAAATAATATTTTATATAGAGAGCTCTAATAAAACTCTATCAACCAAATAAAGATTGAAGAATTTTTTTAAGATTAAAATTGTTATTTTTAAATAAAAAACAAAAAAAATTGAAAATTGTGATCATAAAATAAAAAAGTTTTGGATTGAACTAAATAAACTACAAAAGTTAAAAGAGTTTAAAGTTATTATAAATCTGTTTACATTGACAAATAATAACACAACAAACAAAAATAAAAAGTGTTATAAGAAAGAAATGTCTCTTTCGCATTACATAATGTTGATAAAGGAATAAAACCCTAATATGTTAGTAACTAAATGAAAGGTATTCACGCTAAAATCATGTTAAAAGAAAACTTGATTGTAAAAAAAATGTGAGAATAGTATGGAATAAAGTGGTAATCCGACAACGATACAAATTACAAGTGTAAAAAAAAATATTCAAAATATATTTCATATAAAAATACATATTCAAAATATTAAATTTTTAATTGTTTATATACATTTATGATTTTCTCCTCTTTAAAATTAAAATCAATAATAATTTATATACCATTTCATTTCTTGATGGACTGTAAATGATAAAACCATAGTAAATAAGAATTTTAAAATGTACAATAACTCAAAAATAAATATTTTTCATACACATTTACTTCGTTCATAACCCACTATATATTAACAAATAAGATAAGAGGAGTGTCACCTTCCATTATTTTATTTCAAAAACTAACATCGTTGATAAAAAAAACAACATTGACCACTCTCAAAACTAATGAAACTAAATTGGGACTAAAATAACAGCAAAACAAAATTGGAAAAAAAAATATATATATATATATATATATATATATATATATATATATATATATATATATATATATATATATATATATATATATATATATATATATAAACATCTAACGTATTTTTAATGAGGACTGTGATTCATGTGGCATTACTCCGGTTTCTCAAAGCCAGACTTTAGTGTAGTGGGATTAACCAAGTCGCTAAATGTCGGCAAGGATTGTACCAAAAATGTGTTAAAGGACTTTAATTAATGTATTCATCACATGAAAGTAAGTTTATTGATGGTGAAATTGATTGTCCCACACTTCCACTACATAGAATAAATTTAAATCCACTTATCTTTATTAAGGGCCATCACTTCATCATATCAGGAATATCTGTACTTGAATAGTGCATACTTTATGGCAAGCTTCTCTTAGTCGTATTTTTATCCTTGCTACTCAAAGTGGCGAGTTGCTATTTATTTGCCTCACCAAAACGCATATTGCAACACACTTATCTCTCGTCAATTGGATTTGCTCCACAGAAAATGGCACATTAATACTCTCTCAGCTCCTCTTGGATAAAATTCACCCTCTGTATATTTCAATAGCAAACCAACAAAAGATCCATGTTGGAGGAATGTGCAAAATATACCAGGAATGCTATATATATGTTGAAGATGAGTCATGACAAATCACAACTGAGTTGGACAAAATAACAATGAAAGATCATGAAATGGAAGTTTGTGTGGTTGCCATAATTAATGTGCTGATATAGATCGAATTCGATTATCCACTTGCTAGTTTCCCTGTTGAAGAATTTTAGATTATTATATTCCATTTATTTATATCCAAAGTATTCTATTATGCTTAATGAGTGGCGTAGACAATCATGGCAACCCAATTAGCATTGGGCCAAATTATATCACATCGTGTATGTATCATAATTTTCCTTTTCTAGTGTTTTCTTCCGTATCGCTCCCCACGCTTTGACTTTATAAAGCACCCTTCGCCCTAATTTGTAATGTGAACCAACATTCCTGAAACTTACTCTTCCATCACCATCGTGAACCTTTTCTGTTCTTCATTGCCAACAATAATAGGTGGCCTAGAACTGTTAAGAACAACTGTTATCAATAACCTACAATAAATTCCTCTCACTTTTCCTCCTAATCGCGGTTCAGGTTTCATTGCGATCTCTATACAAGTTCTGTTATTCACACTACTCATGCATTAATTTATTTATATAATACTTTGTGTTTATCTATTTATTATATTTCTTATTTATCTATCTGTCTTTTGATTGTAGAATTTATAATATAAGATTAAAAATATATTTTTTATTTTTATAACTTGTATGGTCATGATGATATAGTTTTCACGTTAATAGCATGGATCAGACCTTCTCTATTCGAAGTTAAAATAGAGAGTATATAGAAACTACTTGTATTAACTTCAATTAAACGCGTAAACATGCTGTAAATTTATGTGTTGTAGCTTTGGGGTCCTTTAGTTGCTTGATGTAATTTTAAAATGGATCATTTTTAAGAATAATTTAGAAATATATGAAAATAAAAGATAATTCTAGAATTTGTAATTATATCTTGATAATTATAAAGTTAAAAAATCTAGAACTATCTAGAAAATTATAAACTTACATAAGTTTATAAATAGATAATATCACTTTCTTCCACCTTTCTTTTTAAGATCTCCAACTATGTCTCATTTTCAACACCTTCATCTATACCTTCTTTCTGAACTTCTTCACTGTTAAACAACATACAATCTTTTTTAGAAACATATTTTTTTGAAATCACAATCAATGTCATGAAAAACATTGTAATTGAAGAGGTAAGAATTAATTACCATTACAATTGTAATGAGCAGTAAAGGCGTTGTGAAAAGTAATTACAGTATGTAGTTAAGAAAATTGAGATGACAGAAGAGAGAGCCAAAAGGCCGAAACAGAGGCACTGGCAGTGGTCGAAATTTGAAATGAGTATAATTGGTTGCATTGCACCAAGGGCAAGTGGTAAATGTGCGTTTGAAAATGAACTAGCAAATGGCAAAAGGAAGAGACTAGGTAGCCCACACCACGCCACAGTTTATTTGCAGTGGAGGACAAGAAAAATGGATTGTAAATAAACGACGTCGTATGAGCCAACCTCTATAACTCTCGGTGGCAGATACCTGTCCTGTAGTTGCAAAGTTGTTGTAGGGGTCCATAGCAGAGCAGGATCTGCAAACTGTTTTGAAGTGACTGGAGGGAGGACACGTTGTTCACGGCCCGTGAAATCCAATTCAAGCTTCTCAGCAACTCACACTAAAAGCAACCAACCAAAGCCAAATAGCAAATAGCAACCCCCGTCACATTAAATGAACCTTTAATTTGTATATATATATAGAACATAAAATATTTATTTGTGCAACCCTCTTAGCAGATTGTGTGTGTGACTGTGTGAGTGTGACCAATAAATTTGAGATGGACTTGGTTTGAGTCTTTGAAGTTGCATTTGCATCCATTGTGCAAAAATGAGGTCTCTGTGTTTCCTGTTGTTGAATGCAGCACAAGGGTCTTTTTTAGATAACAATAACTAATTGGTATTATTACTTTAATATAAGTGACCAAGGTCTATGGACTAAGAAGTGTTACATAAAAGAGAAAAGGAAAGGAGGGAGCGTAGAATAAAGCAAAAGCGGAGGTCTTTCTCATACACGGATCCCCATGGAATGCGGGAAGGATGCCTAGCATTGCTTGCTGGAACACATTCTTTTTGTTTAGTTTAAAGGAACTTGCTTTGTTCCCTTTAGAAATGTGTCCACCCAGACACCCTTATATACATATACAGGCCAAGATACTCAGATAGATAGAGAGAGAGAGAGAGATAAAGAGTTTATAGACTATGCAGTTGCCTGCAGGACCTTGATAGATTTGTTTACATTCTTTGTTAGATTTGGCCCAGTCAGTTTTGCAACCAAGTCCAAAATTATTTATTTACAAAAAAACTGAAGGAAAATAAATTGGTCTAAGTGCTGGGGTGGGGAGGCTAGAGATATTTAGATAGATATATTTCTCTTGTTTGGTAAAGGAGTGAGTGAGAGTTTGTTGAGAGAAAATGAAGAGCATGGAGAATGATGACTCTGTTGACCTTAATAATCAAAATAACTGGTTGGGTTTCTCACTCTCTCCTCAAATGAACATAGGTGTTGCTTCACACCCCCAACCTTCCTCTGCTGCTGAAGTGGTTCCTACAAGCTTTTACCACACTGCACCACTTAATAACTACGGCTTCTACTATGGACTTGAAGCTGAAAGTGTTGGATTTTATTCAGCTCTGCCTATCATGCCCCTCAAATCTGATGGCTCTCTCTTTGGAATGGAAGCCCTGGGCAGGTCACAAACACAAGGTTAGTCCAAAAGTTTTGCTATATTCTCTTGCTTTGGGAGACTTGTTTTCTAGTGTGCACTATACTAACTGTGACCTCAATTGACGACTGTATTTTTATCTATTTTTGTGAAGCAATGGCTACTAGTTCAACTCCAAAACTGGAGAACTTCTTAGGTGGGGAAGCCATGGGGACCCCTCACTATCAATGTAGTGTCACAGAAACAATGCCTCTGAGCTTAGACAGTGTGTTTTACAGCCAACCTTCACGCCGTGACCCAAATAACCAAACTTACCAAAACCATGTCCAACACATTAGCACTCAACAACAACAGCAGCAAGAGCTTCAAGCCCAACATTTATCATATTACTCTACCTTGAGAAACCATGATATGATGTTAGAAGGGTCTAAACAAAGTCAAACTTCAAACAACAATCTTCAGGTTGTAAACATGGGTGATGATGGAGTTCCTGATCCTGGTCTTAAGAGTTGGAGAGTAAGGAACTTCCAAGCTAGCCATGCACAGGAGTCAAAGTTGATTGTTCCTGTGGAGGAGAATGGAGGTGAATCAGGGTCCATTGGATCAATCGCTTATGGGGATTTGCAGTCTTTAAGCTTGTCCATGAGTCCTAGCTCACAGTCCAGCTGTGTAACTAGTTCACACCGCACATCACCTGCTGTCATTGATTCTGTTGCCATGGATACAAAGAAAAGGGGACCTGATAAGGTTGACCAGAAGCAAATAATCCATCGGAAGTCCATTGACACCTTTGGACAAAGAACCTCCCAGTATAGAGGTGTAACAAGGTTAGTTCTGTTTTTCCAACATCCACCAATATGTTTATGTACTTTGAAAGAATAAAGCTATAATATAGGTCAGTTGTTTGTTCACTTGATTTGCAATATTATGTGTAGTGGTTCATGCATGAGCATACTCAACACATTTTACAGTTCATCTCCCTTTATATTTAGTGATTTTTCTTTATTTCTAAAGTGTGTCTGTGTATCAGGCATAGGTGGACTGGTAGGTATGAAGCTCATCTATGGGACAACAGCTGCAAGAAAGAGGGCCAAAGCAGGAAAGGAAGACAAGGTAAGAAAGGGACTATATTCCCCATCACTTTTTTATTTTTTTTCTTGTGCATTTTTTTTTATCAAACATATCTAAATATCGAGTTCCACTGTTCTTTGTAGCAAAGATCTGCAATTGTTTAGTCATCACTCACTATTTTTTTTTTTTTTTGGTTTATATCTGTGCTTCCCGGGGATGTTACTCAAATATACGATGAATCTCAGTTTATCTAGGTAAGGTTTCTTAAGAACTTAACATTTATTTTTAATTTTGAAATTTCCAGAGCTTAGATCCACAAGACAGTTAAAGATAGATATCATTTAATATTTTGCTTATGAAGTTAACAAAAGAGGAAAATTGATGTTTATTCAAGTCATTCCAAACTTTTGATTTTAGGGGGTTATGATATGGAAGAAAAAGCTGCGAGAGCTTATGATCTGGCCGCACTCAAGTATTGGGGACCCTCCACTCACATAAACTTCCCTGTAATAACAAATAATTTATTTCTCCTTTCTCTTTCATGTTTCCACTCAAGTTGTATGGTCTAATTCATAAGATTGAATAAAATAATAATCTTACGACATCTTTTTCTTTTCCATTCTCTTCTAACAGTTGGAAAATTATCAAAATGAACTTGAGGAAATGAAAAATATGACGAGACAGGAGTATGTTGCTCATTTAAGAAGGTAAAATCCTTGTTGATATTTATCATTTGTAAAGCTAATCATCAACAAATGTTTTACTTGTTCATAACATCTATCAACTTTGTCCATTCAGAAAAAGCAGCGGATTCTCAAGAGGGGCTTCCATGTACAGAGGAGTTACAAGGTCTCCTAGCTAACAATTACTTAAAGCAGATATGATTACAATTTAATTAGTAATATACTATTTTTTATATCTACAATTAAATGTCTGAAGTTTTTCAAACATGGTTTACTTGGTAGCAGACACCATCAACATGGAAGGTGGCAAGCACGAATTGGTAGAGTGGCTGGAAACAAAGATCTATATCTTGGAACCTTCAGTAAGTTCTTTCAAACTCTCTGGATAGCTTCTTTTTTTTCCTCTGAACGTACTTTTTTTTTCTTTTACTTTATTTTTGCCTATATCAACGTGTTCATGTACCAATTACCATGTTTCCCATAGTAGGAAGCGACAGAGGGGGTGCTTTATGACTTTGAAAACCTAATCTTTGATGCTCTCAAAGGATGCTCATCTTTTCAGCCACGATAAAGCTGATCATGAGTCACTTTGATAAATATTGTAGAGGACTGTTAGTCCCGGAGAGACAGCTTTTATTAATGCTGTTATTCAGACTGATAGGCAATAATAACTTTAAATCTTAATTGTTCATTTAAATAAAATCTTATCCAATGTCTGTAGCACAGAGAACACTGAACTCAAGTTTTTTAGCACATTTTACTTTACAAAGCGTATGGCCCCCCACAAAAGAAATCCATTGTAGTGGGTCGAAGAGAAAAAAAAAATTCAACGTTGGCACAAAAAGCTAATGATTAGTCTTGTTGAAATTAAACTCTAGGTACCCAAGAGGAAGCAGCTGAAGCCTACGACATTGCTGCTATAAAATTCCGAGGAGTTAATGCAGTAACCAACTTTGACATAACAAGATATGATGTGGAGAAAATCATGGCAAGCAGCAACCTTCTTAGCAGTGAGCTAGCTAGGCGCAACCGAGAGACAGACAGTGGAACTCAGTATATTGATCATAATCATAAGTCCTCTGCATATGATGACACTCAAGAAGCTATTCTAATGCATAAGAGCTGTGAAAGCCAAAATGATCAGTGGAAGATGGCTCTCTATCAATCCTCTCAACAGCTTGACCAGAATCCACCGAGAATTGAGAGTGACAGAACTAACCAGTCTCTCTCAGTGGCTTTGGACAACATGTTTCATCAAGGAGTAGAGGAATCGAGTAAGGTGACAACGCATGTTTCAAATCCTTCTTCACTGGCCACAAGTTTGAATAGCTCAAGAGAAGGTAGTCCTGATAGGACAAGCTTGCCAATGCTCTCTGGAATGCCTTCAACTGCGTCAAAATTACTGGCTACTAATCCAAATAACGTGAATTCTTGGGATCCTTCACCCCATTTGAGGCCTGCCCTTTCATTGCCTCAGATGCCAGTTTTTGCTTGGACAGATGCATAGTTCATAGTTTCTTAGTCCTTCTACTTTTGTTCTCTTAAGTAAAATTTCAATCCTTTTAGTCTTTTTGCATGCATGGACAACACGATAGAAGGGGTTGTAGCAAGCAAAATTGAGGGTTTCAAATATTATCCGCAAGTTTGAACTTTAAAAAGTTACGTGTTCGCATTCTCCTAGTAAAGAACTATATTGAATTTTCATTTTCATATGATATCCTTGTGGCCAGATTTTGTCGACTCATTGATAGAAATGGACGAGAAGGCTATGAAAAGGTTATGATTGAGAGGGTGAAACTATTAAGGCAATATGGGGGGAGACAATTCATCATTAGTTTCAACATTGCTGGTCCTCCTAAGTACATAACCCAGCTCAGTATGTGTCCCAATTAAGCAGAACTGGGCCTGAGATATATATGTATATTAATCCATCCCTTTGACCGTAATGATCCTCTTGATCACGTCATTGTTACTGATTCTCCACGTCCAGGGTCATCATTACTCCCACCTTTTCTTGCTTAACTTTGTCTAAAGGCAGCAGATATTCCCTTACCTAATTCAAACAAAAGGCAGTGGGTGCAAAATTAGATTCCCTCTGCATGACTTTATGTGATCTGATTGATGACTTAATGCCATGTATCGTATTACAATTTGTCTGCTGCCTTAAGGAAAGCCACATAGTTGGAAAACTTTTCACATCTTTCTTTTATTATTTTATAACCACTCTAATAATTATATTGGCCCTTCAAACCATCCTTCCCTATGTCCAGTGTGGCCTTAGCTATCTTGAGCTAAGCGATCGACCTCACTCGGCATGGGTACATTCACACTTTAGTTTCTGTTTTTTTCACTTCCATGCTCTTTTTGCCCATGATCTATGTTTAAACGTGGCATCAGGGAAG